GTCAAATGATCTACCTTAGTGTTAATAGAATTGTTTCTAAGTTCAGCAAGTAGTCAACTTTGAATAGGATTTCTGAGATATTTTCTGGAAAGCAAAAGAGGTGTATCTTAGTACGAAGATTATACCTTTAATTTTGTCTCCTCAGAGTCTTTTTGAGTGGTCAATGTTTTTAGATTTCATTCTGGCTCTTTGGAGTTGTCAAATAGGTGACTTTGAGTAAATAAAATGTTAATATATTTATTATAAAAATATTAGCCATTCCTGTTATTCAAGTTAAGTGCTCATTTCATAAGACTGGTGTTCATTTAGATATGTAAACTTACATTTAGCTGCAGAGCAAGGTATTTATCTTAGTGCTTTATCTGTCAGACTGCAGCATATCACTACTGGTTGAATTTGACATGCTTTTAACCTTTTTAATTTTTTTAATCTTGTGGATGTATTATGCTAAAGCAAACTGTTAATAAATTCCCATTTGGTTATAATTCCAACTGTTGTGTTAGGAACTATATACACCTATTAATGAAATGTTTGACATACAATTTAATTTTTATTTCTCTTTTCTAGGTAAAGAGTAGAGTATATCAAGGTAAATCTTTAGGCTTGTTTTGTTATTTGTACTATTCCCTCTGTACAAGTGTTTGATATGGCTTTTATATGTAAGTAGTTTTAGTGACTTCTGATGTCTGACTGACTTACAGCTTCTGAACACTTTCCTATTCTTAGGTTGCTAGCTTGGATGATAGAATAAATGATGATGCTACCAACTGAGATAGGAGATGAGGAGGAACAAATTGTGGGAGTAGGGAGAAGATTAGTTTCACTGGGGGCAGATTTACCTTAAATATTGATGTACTAGTTTATTACATGTGACCAGGTTTTCCGTGTTAGTGATTTAGTACATTAACCATTTATTTAAGTAGATAATTTCAGGACTAGAAATATAAATCAGCATGCTTGCATTTTCTTTTTCTCTTTGCAAATGACATATTTGAAGTGATGCCATCTTCTGAGAAAAAAATATGCTTCATGCAGGGATAAATATTGACCTATAACATTTTACCGGGTTTCCCATCTTGGAAATAAACTTAACTTAGACTCTCATTGAAATAAAGTTTCTTATTATATTTTTCTTAAATTGTAACAATATTTTTACATTCTTATTCCTATTAGAAGATTGCTTTTTGTATTAATCTGTTCTCACACTGCTGTAAAGAAATACCCAAGGCCAGGTGTGATGGCTCATGCCTGTAATCCCAACACTTTGGGAGGCCAGGGCAGGAGGATTGCTTCAGCTCAGGAGTTTGAGACCAGCCTGGGCAACATGGAGAAACTCATCTCTATTTTAAAAAATACAAAAATTAGCCAGGTGTGGTGGCAAGCACCTGTGGTCTCAGGTACTTGGGAGGCTGAGACAGGAGAATTGCTTGAGCTTGGGAGGTGGAGTTTGCAGTGAGCTGAGATTGTGCCACTGAACTCCAGCCTGGGCAACAGACCGAGACCCTGTCTCAAAAAAAGAAATACCTAAGACTGAGTAATTTATGAGAAAGAGGTTTAATTAGCTCATAATTCTGCAGGCTATACAGGAAGCATAGTGGCATCTGCTTCTGGGGAGGCCTCGGAGAGATATCACCCATAGCAGGAGGTAAAGCAAGAGCAGGCCGTCTTACATGGCAGAAGCAGGAGCAACAGAGAGTGAGCGGGGAGATGCTGCACACTTTTAAACAACCTGACTCCACAAGAACTCAGTCACTGTCACAAGAACAGCACCACAGGGATGGTGATAAACCACTCATGAGAAATCACCCCTATGATCCAATCACCTCCCACCAGGCCCCACCTGCAACACTGGGGACTATAATTTGACTTGAGATTTGGTGGGGACACAATCCAAACCATATCACATTTCAAAACCATAATAGTTATGTCAAGAAGTCCTTTTTCCTCATAGTGCCAGATAACATGTCTTTCCGCCAATACATTGGGTCATTCAGTTTCATTTAGTGATCATAATAACCTTATATATTTTCTTTTTTCAGTCACCGAACAGCAGATTTCTGAGAAGTTGAAGATTATTAGGAAAGAAAATACAGAACTTGTACAGAAATTGTCAAATTATGAACAGAAGGTATAATTATTCTTTTTTTTTCCCCTGGTCCCAGCTTGAATTATTTTCACCTGTCTTATTGTTCAGTTACTATGGTATTTTAAAATAATATTTATTATTCCATTAATTCCTATAAACAATCCAGAGCTTAATCAATCATGTGTGTAAAGTACTGTTTTCTTCTATAAGAGTTCAGTCACTCCAAAGTAAATTCCAATAGCACAATACTTTGTATTTCTGGATTCTGAATGCTTTATTTTTTGCAGATAAAGGAATCAAATAAACATGTTCAAGAAACCAGGAAACAAAATATGATTCTCTCTGATGAAGCAATTAAATTTAAGGTAAAAACTTCTTTTGGGGATTACATTTTAAAACAAAAGTAAAAATTAATGAATATAACTAAACTTAATATATTTTTGTAGGATAAAATCAAGACACTTGAAAAAAATAATGAAATTCTGGGTGACACAGCTAAAAATCTTCGTGTTATGTTAGAATCTGAGAGAGAACAGAATGTCAAGAATCAGGATTTGGTAAGAGTTTTGCTGCTAAGTGTTACTAATAATTTGGTTTTTGAACTCTGTAGATGGATTTGAACTTTTTATTTTTCCATAGTGTTCTGTGAAGTAAGAGTGTGAGTCAGGGAAGTTGAACTACCTCTGTCCGTTTTTGTGGGATTTTAAATACTTACACAAGAAGTTACTCTTATGGGCCTAGGAAGTATTTTGGTTCTTAACCCTAGGTAATTGTTGATTGCTTGGCTCTGCCCTCCAAAACATGTTGAGCAATTAAGAAACCACAACCCAGTTGAACAGTCCTTTGTTTTGTTTTGTTTTGCAAAGTTTTTTTTCACTATAAGCATTTTACTTTATTAATAGAAGAGTTTCAGAATGACATAAAAATTGCAAAGATAGTAAAGAGGGTTCCCATAAATCCCACATCCTATTAATCTTGATGGCCTGACTGAGCTTAGTATTGCCAGGTTTCTTCACTGTAAAATTGCTTTTTTTTTTTTTTTTTACCTTTTGCATTATTGTACTCTTTGGAAGGAAGTTAGTAACACAGCCCACAGTTA